GGCTTGCAGATATTTTTGCAACAGGCATCAGCTATGGTGGCCGGTGTTGACCAATTGAGTTACAAACCAGTAGGAAACCCTGTGGCTGTGGACTTAAGTGACTTACATGCATAGACTTGAGGAATAGACTTTGGTGGTGCATTTCTGCTTTTGGGCCGTCACAAAATCTAAAGCGAAAAAGCTTCCATGGTGAAGACGGCCGCGGACAAGCTACCGTCTGACATGTCGTCATCTCAGGAGCTCTTGGAGACAAGTTCCTTTGAATGCAGGGAGTTGCCATCAAAGGAGAAAGAATCAGACAGGTGAGCCAGACTAGCTATGTCTTTGCTGTGGATCTATAGTGCCTCCAATGTTTGCTGAAGCACGGTGTCCAACAATGCTTGCTTGCTCACAAGGTGACTTCGTAAGTCTGCACTGCCCTTTGAATGCAGAGACCAAGCACTTGATCAACAAGGATCGAAAAAAGATAGACTCAAGTTGCTGCTGAAGAATTTACGTGGATGTTTTGATGGAATACCTACGAACTCTATGCAGAATCTGTTGGATTGAAGCCTCAGCCTCCCTCTATCCCACCATCACCAGCATCTTCTAGAAAAGACTGCTTCATGCGAAGCTCAAGCAAGTATCGACTGCCCACCAACCCCTTGAATTGAAGGATACCTTGAAGCTCATGAAGCCAACTGCCTACCTCATCAACACAGGCCAGGCAGACGTGAGCAGGAATCCTTGGAACATCATGGTGCATGTCAGGGAGTGAACCATCGTAATCCTCCAGTACCTTCCAAAGATAATGGAATATGATGGATGTTAAGGCCATGAAGCTGGCCATTGAATGCCTTTGAGGTGAAACCCTACAGGATGTTCAGTAAACAATTGCAACATCTTGGTTTTCCATTTGGAGACTTCAGCCTGGCGTGAAAGGTCGCGGCTCCCTCATCAAGGACAGCCTGCATCCGGCTGGCATGCATTTGTTGGACATTAGAACTAAATCTGTAAGAGTGAGCTTGAAAGGGGGGGTGAGTGAGCTTGATGGCTTCGGAGTTTTTGCAGTCTTGGCAAAGGCAAAGGCACGAAGCTTTCGTGCCAGATTGGTGCCTTATACATCCATGTTCGACTGTTCCGTGCGCCATCTCTTGCCACTTGGGGCTAGTTGCATACACATGCAGTGCAGGTTTGGTCTGTGAACACGTCGTGCGCGATGGCATCACCAGACTCGGTGGACTCGTTCGAGTCGTTCGAGTCTCCTCGTCTGGTCTCGTTCGACCGATGGGGAAGGCCCAGGAAGGCCATTGGATGAGGAGCCTGATTTGATTGAGGCGCTGGAGCAGAAGGCCATTGCAGGCCTTCGGGCAGTTTTGCCAAACGTTTATGGATGAGATGATTAGAGGATGATATGAGTGAAGATTGTGGCGAGCAAGTTGTGTTTGTGAAGAGCGAATGGAGTAGGAGGCCCAGAATCTTTGGATGAACATATAGTAGTACGTAATGAAAGCAGCATCATTAGCAAGAAGAGCGACAGGATGCAAACCATAATCAAACCCTGCAACACGACAGTCCAACAGGCCCTCGCAGTCACAGAATGGTGGTCGAAGCTTTGGATGATGACATGAGAAGACAATCTTTGGATGTGGACTTGAGCAAATAGTTTTGGATGAGGCTCATACAGATACTGATACTGTGTTATACATGCTGCCCTCCTGCTCCTCCAAACTACCTGCAACTGGGGGATGCTGGAGATCAACGTCTTTAGTTGGAAACGAACAGAAGACTGAAGAACATCCTTCCTACAGTTCACGTAGTGTTTTCCAACACTGCTCCTGCCGACATGTTTGTCTCTTGGCCGAATTTCAGGTGCAGGTTTGGATGTGCAAGAGACAGAGCCACCACCGGAGGATAGTCCCCTCTACACCCTGGAGAATGCTTGGAGCTGAAACAAGTCCTTTTGCGACCGAGTTGTTTTGTAGCCAAATGCACAAGCAGCTTCAATGAATAAATATGCTCCATCATGCTTCTGTGGCAAGCCGGCAGCCAACCTCCCAGGATTGTCCAAGACGGCACTGAGGTCATTCTGACACCGCACATTGGCTGGAAGCGATTGGAGACTAGGCCAGGCCTCATGAGGCAAATTCTCACGAAAGAATGTTACTCACCTGTCTTGATGTGGCGCCGCGACCAGAAATTCTTCCGTGAAAAAAGTTTCAGAAAATCAGCTGAGGCCCTGTAAAGGGTGTTTGTAGTGCTGTGGGCGGGCACCGTAGCGTTTGAATCATTTGATTTCATTTCAGTGGTTTGAAGATTTCAGAGCCACTGTGACCCATTTCTTTGATGGATTGAATGTATTGATTGTTAAAAATAGAGAACACAAGTGCTTTCTATTTTCCGTTGTAGGCAACGGCTCATGGACATCGTGGCCGCAAACTTGACGGCCTTTTTGGCAGGGAAGCCAGTCGGGAGTCCAACACGACCACTCGGGAGCTCCGTGTGCGCGCACGGACTCTTTGGAGTTGGGCATCCCAAAAGGGGCGCCAAATGCCGCAGATGAGGATGGTCTTTGGATTATTTGATTAAAGGGATATGAAAGACAGGACGGGCTTTTTGGATGGACAAGAGATGGCTGACGCAAAGAATTGTGTAGGTTTCGGTGTTGAAGGAGTTTCTGCCCCCAGACGGCCAGCTAAGAAGCTTCCGACAACCAGCCTCAAGAGTGATAAAAGCATTCTTTTGGCACTGGAGTTTAGGTTTGAGATGGTTTGAGGGAGGCATGCACCATGGAAAGTTTTGTATGGTACTTTTGATGAGTGCTGCCAACGACTGTACTGTACGTTTTAAGTGTCCCCAGAAAGGTATCATGTCACTCAAGCAGCTTGTCTCACTAATCGCCCAAGGTGAATGTCGTTCAATCCTGAGCGTATGCATTTGGGCCAGAAGTACCTGCAGCTTTATGTGCTTCGTCCAGCCAGCGGCAGGATGTGCGCGAATTGTTTCACCTACCAAAGGTCAGATGGTATTTACTGATTCTATAAATATGCTTCCATCAGAGCATACCGGAGCTATGGGCAGCGCTATAGGTCTTTTGATGCGTTGCGCGATGCTTTAGCCTCCTGTTTAACTGTGCAAATAATTTCAAATATGTGATTGCTGCAAGTCAAGAATGTGCAAGAGGTTTCACATGAAGTCCCTACAGTCCAGGCACATCCTGTCCATAGAACGGACAGAATTTTCGCAGTTTTCGACAATTTTCATCAGAGATGCTATTGGCTGCAGACTGCCTGCCTAGCAAAAGGACTGCTGCTAGACAAGTTGACTCATTCTGTTGCTTTCTGCACAGCGGGCCGTCGCTAGACTGTGGGATGACAGCCGAACTAGAGTTGACTGCCGTCTCGAGGCTGCAGTCGCCTATCTCAAGAACACTTTGTTGGAGATCCTCGAGTGCTCGGGCCCTACTTTTCAGTTCAGATATTCCTCGCTGAAGATTAAATGCAGGACTCGTAGGACCTGTTTGGTTTAAAATGGGTTGTGCCATGTTGATCCATGTTGTACCATGTGTTTCTTTTGTCAATGATCATGTGGAAAGCTAGAACTACTATTCGGGCCAAACCTTTGTTTGGATAAGGGCATGAAGACTTTAAACTGTGTTGCGAGTTGAGGCTCACAATCCTGCTGTGGCCAGAACACCGTAGACGGTCCTACTGCATGACTATCAGTTGCTTGCCATGTTCCATCCACCACGCTTCAATGCGTCTTCTGCCGATCCAGGGCGGCATTGGGTGAAAATCCACAAGCACATGTTGCCCAAATTTCCACTAGGTTCAGAGGTTTGAACAGATTTGATGTTCAATCTCGATCTACTCATCACTGAGTCACTGCAAGGCCGTTGACTTTGCATCTCACGGTCTGCCGAGGCCATGATAAAGACAACGACCGTCGGCAGCTGAGGAGCTGCCGTGCAGCTGGCCCGTGTCGGAGCGGTGTTCGGCCCACAGGGTCCGAAGCTTCAACGAAGGTAAAAGCCCTCAAGAAACATGTGTGGGAGGCATGGGTGTGCCTCCAGCAATTTTTGGCTGTTCATATTTAAGCGATCCATGCGATCTCCTCCAGCCGGTGATATCCCAAAAAGAACCGGTCGCATCGACCTGAAATTCACACCCGGGATCCGCAAACATGGACAATATCAAAATAGATCATGAATACAATTAATATAGATCATGAATCATAGATCAAATTCCCAGGGCCTTTCGGCGCCTTTCGGCTTCTCCCAATTCGGCCTTTTTGGACCAAGGGCAAATCCACCGGGATGAGTTTGAATTGCTCATGCGGAACCCAGAGATGCATTTCGCTCATGCCTCAGCGACGCTGGTGTCAAAGGAAAAAAAAAACACGAGCAGCGTCCTTGCTAGTAGCGATGCCCTTGTTACTTGCTGTTACTAGTAGCGACGCCAGGAGCTACTGGTAGAGGAAACATGGTACTCACAACATCAGCCTCATTAAGCTATGCAAGTGTGTTTAAAGAGGTTGGTCTTTGAGAATTTTGGCCGGATCAGCAGTGAGCACTCTGAGACACAACTCTACCACTAGGTTGAGAATGAGCCGAGGTGCTAACACGCTTTGGTGTCAATGTGGCTGATCTCCTCAACCTGAAGGATGTGCCCATCTCAGTTGAAAAGCTGAACAAGACTCACCGATTGCGACTACTTGAGACTGCGCAAGCAGTCCAGCCCTATTTTGTCCATGCCTTTGAAAACGGATGGGGCAGCTGGCTTTTGGTGGGGAGATGAAAGAAGGGAGCTCGAAATCGGTAGGTCTTTTTGATTCAATTCATGTCCATGTCATGCAACTGAGTTCGACATGTCATGTGTTTGCCCAGGTGCTTTTTGAGGACAATGCCGCTTGGCGGATTCTGCACCACTCCGCAGTCCAAAACCGGACCCTCCATACCAACAGGAACGCGGTTTCTTGATTCGAAGATGTGAACATTTCGATCAAAAACCACATCAGCACCCATGGCCACGATCCACTCCCGGTCGCCGGCCTCCTTCGAAGTTCCGTAACAAATCGTGCCAGACGGAGCAAGAAGAAGACGAGGAAGAAGATGAGGATGACACCAATTCGTTCGGACCCCAGAAAAGCAGAAGGCCATGGCCGAAGTGCAAGTCTGGGTTTTGAAGAATAGTATCAGGGTCCCAATCCACGCCTACCTACGGCTTCAGCAAAACAGTTAATCAATTTCACTGAAAACACTGCCAGAAAACCTTTGCTTGCTGTGATGTTCTGCACTCATTTTTGTAGTGGAAAGCACCTTTCGAGGGAGGCATGGATTTTCATTCACCCAGGCATGGCTTGAACACAGCACGGCGGAAGTTGCGGAAGCTGAGCTTCCAAGAATTCCTGGAGGTGCAGAGGGCTTCCAGCCGAGGAGCAGCTGTTGGATCATTGAAGTGGGCAGGATAGTTATTGAAACGTGCTGTTTGGTGTGCCAGGAGTGTCACACCGACAGGAGGATGGTGATTTTATTATGTGTTACTATGTGTTACTTCATTTCCTTGCATGCGACTCCTAAGCCATGTATTCTGAAAGAAGAAGGGACAAGGTTGAAAGGGCTGTTTGCAGCTATTGGCTATTGAGAGAGGGTCATGTGGATTGAAGTTTGGTGGGTATCCTTCGCATCTCACGCCCACTCCTGCAACTGAAATGGATCACTTTGCAGAATCTGCCGCGCAGGTGGTTTTGCGCTTGAGGGGTGGCAACAGCGCCACCGTGACAGACATCGTGGACCTGCGAGAATATGCACGGCACCGAGTTTAGATGGGCGAGCTTCGCCTCGACCTCCATGAACCTGCAAATCAATGAGACAGTTTGATGGAAAATCCCTACACTAGGAGAGATACTGTAAGAAGTACATAGAAGTACCAACCAAGCACTTTGGAGCAACGATGGGTTTGACACCTATTTGAGTGTTGTCAAGTGCTGCTTTACATGATTCCTCTTCCTTAGCAGCCTTAGCACTCCTCAACTCTGCGTAGTACAACAGCAGATCTCTTCCCAGTCAATTTGTCGATCTTGACATCAATTGGTATCCTGGAGCTGGCCCGTTCCTCCACATCCGTCCGTACAGTCCGAAAAGGAGAGTGGGCAAGGATGGACAAGGTCAGATAGGCCATCAACTCCAAAAGAAGATCCAAGAAGGACGTAACATCCTGTGGCCTGTGCATTAAGACCAGCAGGCGCTATGGCTGGTGTGAGGGCAAAAAAGAACAAAAAACACGGAAGCGAATCCCACATGGATCCATGGGTCCACCCACCTTCGTCCACGACGGTCAGGTTCGACAGCGCTTTGACCGTATGGACCTGCGGGTCCAGCATGCGGCCTCGGTCGGAGGCGACCAAAGGGTTCCTTTTGAAGGGAAAAAAACAGGTAAACCCCAACCTTGCCACCAGTAGGGAGAACCCGCGTAAGGGGACGCGTAAATAAAGACGTCCCGCATTGGTCGCGATGTTTGTTGGGGCGACCCCATGTCCACTGGTGCCAGCACCTGTGCCAGCGCCGTGCAGGTAGCCCGTCTCCCAACGGCAGATTGAGAACCATGAAGTGGGAGAGCCCAGTGCACAGAGACGGCAAGAGTTGAATTCAGAGTGCATCGCTTCTAGTAACAAGTGCCTTATTATATAGTAGTAACAATGTTTGCTAGTAGAAACAAGTGCCTTACTAGTAGTAGCAGGTGCCTTACTAGTAGTAACAAGAAGGCATTAGAAACAAGGTGCAAACACATTCACAGCGATTTCAGAGACGGCAAGAGTTGAATTCAGAGTGCATCGCTTCTAGTAACAAGTGCCTTACTAGTCGTAACAAGAAGCTAGTAGAAACAAGTGTCTTACTAGTAGTAGCGGGTGCCTTACTAGTAGTAACAGGAAGCCATTAGAAGCAAGGTGCAAACACATTCACAGCGATTTCAGAGACGGTCAACTTACAAGCAATAAAAACAAAGGCCGAAGGCCCGGTAAATTTCTCGTAAGCGTCAAGCGTGCCTTGAGAAAGGGCTCAACAAGATTGCAGGCGGTTCTAAGCTTGCTTGTTCCTTTCCTGATCTTTGTAACCAGTTGCAGTGCTTCGGGCAGATTCACACCTGTGACATGCGAGTGGGACGCATGGCTGTGTATTCTCAGCAGTCCACCACGAGTTGGGCACCCTGTCGTCGTGGTGTATGTCCGGAGTGGTGACGTCCGAGACGGACTGCAGGCAAGTCGAGTGTGGCTCCTTGCAATGCACTGCTTCTATATTCCTGACCCTGTGGGTCACTTGTGGCCAACAAGGGCAAACCATGGAAGCATCAAATCAAAGTAATCAACCACTGCCAAGGTCTTGAACACGTCTCACAAATGCGTTGTGCCACTGGGCAGAACGGAAATGGAGGCAGTCCGTAGTTGTGCTCCTTTTGGTCTGACATGTTTGATCGATTGCGTTTCAATTTTTGGGGCATGGGTGCTGCTTGTGTGTATATACAGCTTCATGTGGGCTCGGGGCTGCCAGAACTCATTTGTACAGGCTTGGCCTTATTGTGTTCGCCTTGCGACATACTGTCTTTTCCCACGTATGTGTTGTAATCTTGGTGTTCAAAGGCTGCGGACTAGTGATTTTGTGGAATTCCTTGAGGTCAATGCCTGCACGCGGTACTAGGCTGGAGCTGAGCAGTGTTCCTGGGCCATGAGATGCTCAAACATTCAAACCTTTATTCAATATTCCACTTCGTGTTGCTGCGGTTGCAGAAACACGTTCATGCTCAAACCAAGCTGCTGGCCAGCCACAGATCAAAGACATGCCACAGTGGCTGTGGAGATGAGGACTCAAAATTCCATTTTCCAGATGGCCAGCAAGTATAACTGTTTCCACAGGCATGTGCAAGTGGAAACTCCGGCCATACACGAGGAGCCTGTGAAATTCCGGGAACTGCTTCGGATTCGGATCAGAACATGCCCATCAAGTCGTGGTCGGTCGGGTTGGTATATAAATGATTTTAAAGAAAATGATTGCGCATGGTCGAGACCCTTGCTGCATTCTTTTGGGAGTTGCCTTTGTTATCTCCATAGATGCCATGCATAGCCCCACTTTAGTGTCTAGTTCTAGCCATCCCTATCTCAGAAATCAGTGCACCCAACAGATGCAAGTTGATTGTAGTTTGTACGTGTTTGGAACGCGAGTAAAGCATGTAATGTGTCTTGAATACATTTCACTAGCCAAAATGGCCTGCTATTTTGGCTTAAGTGGCACTACACTGCCTGGGAAAAATAGAACTCTTTTTTGTCTTTTGGTCGTTCCTACGCCCTCCGTGTTTTCTTGCCGCATCGCCATGATAGCCTACAATTTTGACTGGGATCTTTTGGATGGGGCAGAGGCAATGACGTTCATCGGGTTTTTGGAGTCCACATCTGGGGTGGCCACCAGATGGAGGAACGCATCCTCTCCGGCACTGATCGCACACAGGCGGCTTGTGCCCCGGCCGCACCTGTGGCCCCCAAAGCGTATCAGAGTAGGTCCCAGAGCAGGTTCCAGAGCAAGTTCCGCGGCAGGTTGTGGAGGAGGTTGCAGAGCAAGTGCGGAGCAGGCGCCTGGCCCCTCACACTGAATGATTCAAACGGATGGGTACGGGCGCCAGTGGCCCCAAAAGTCTTGATGCCGAGGTGATTCTGCCTCCTCACGACACTGCATCGTCGACTTCTCCAAAAGCATCTTCGGATTTGGGCTACACCACTGGAGGGGAACACCGCATTGCTACCGCCCAATCCCATTCTTTGGACCCAGAATGGGTCGAACTCCCAAGAAGAAACTAACCACCTCTCACGAAAAGTTTGGGTGCATCCGCTGCTTTCGTGCTTCACTATCTTTGACTTGACGCTTCAAGAAGCGGATGCTGTACATTGTATGTTTTAGACATAATATATATATATATATCATGTGTAGGGCTTACGTCTCTGCATGTGGGCAACAACAAACATACTGTACGGTAACAACAAAGCATTTAAAGTCAAAGGACGTCGCTTGAACTCTCAATTCCATTGTCAATGCCCTTCTTTTCCCACCGAACCCCAGACGTAAGGTGTCAAACAACTACCCCTGACGGCCATCATGGCTGGCATCCAGTGGAGCAACGCGCGCATTGTTCCCAAAACCTAGAACGGAATGAGCTTATTGTCAGAGCACACAGTCTAGTCGCATCCAGTAGATGTCTGAATTTATACATATTTATATGTAACTACATAGAACTACATATAATATATACATATATATTTTTTCAATATTCTGCTCGCTACCATGGCTGAAACATGATGCGCGCCCACCATGAGACATGAGAAACGGTGACTGTTGTTTTGGTGTCAGGCCATACAGGCCCCTCGCAGGCATTGAGTTTTTTTTTGTGGACAAGGTTTTGACGGTGGTTCATGAACATGTTTGTGTTCACGAACATTTGGGAGTGGGGGGGAAGGGGGGTGTGACATTCGTTCAGTGCATCTTCGACACCGCAGCGGCATGGGTGAGCGTACGGCGGCGCCGGAGACGCCACCGGCCCGTGCGGTTGGCTCACGGGACTCTGACACTTCGTTGCAAACATGATGTTGGCCCAACGTTGGCAGTTCTTTTTGTTGAGGCTTTGCGCGCGATGAAAATGATATGTTATGTTTTTGGCAGACTATTGGCCTGATGAAGGCAACGCCATGATTGTGGCCCCAGCTGACTTGAAACTGGTTGCAGCTGGCGCCCGGCCGACGCAAGAAAGTTGCGCAGGGACAGTCCGCTCAGGCTTGCTCAGCCGCTGCAGCCAAGTACCCTTTGAAACGCTTGTTGTGAAGAGTCAATGGGGGAATCGTGCCAAGGCCTATTCGAAGAAGATGACCTTTGGCGCCCAGCAGCTGGATCGGCTGTGGTCGTGAAGAAGTTCATTCCGCCACAAAGCACGACCCGATCCAAAGGATTGGTGAATCCCAGGCTGTGGAATAGAGTATAAAGTTTTCCAATGGGTATACCGCCGCCAAGAGCGCCAAACCCCGAAAGCCGGAAACAAGAGGATCCGAGCACCTTTATCCCTAGAACACATCTTGACCGAGTTGCCTGCACATCAATGCCGAGTTGGGGCCTTGCAACAATATCACGAGCTGGCCGATGATTTTTGACAGCTCCTCCTACGAGGAACCCTTACTCTTGCGGGTCACTCGGACTGGGCGCGGGTTCGCCCGTCTGGAGTCTGGGAAAAAACCGCTCGTTGGGTTCTTGTGGCGCCGTTTCTGTTGGCCATTTTGGCACAGGAAAAGTGTCTTGTCTCGGGTCTCCTTAACTAACAAAGCCTAACAAAGCCTCGAATCTTCGAACGCAGGGAATTCATTTCTTGTGGCCTTGTCCATAACGAATGCACGGGGCCCAAAAGGACATGAAACCTTGTTTTCTTCTTGCAAAAAACAGTTGTCACAACAATGCAGCAACTACAACCACCACCACAACAACAACAAGGTACAAACAAAAAGTGCAACCCCGTTACACCACATCTTCTTTCTTTTTCTCTACAAGGGGGTAGAAAAAAATTCTGCAACCCCGTCGTTGTTTTTTGACCCCCCCCAAAAAAACAACCAGACAACAAGCACTTTACTGCTACTACTACTAGTGGTACTAGTGCTACTAATATTAGTGGTAGACACCCCCCACCCCGAGACGTGTGGACAGTGCGCGGGGCGTGCGCGGAGGCGGAGGGGGTGGAAACCCGGTTCTCAATCTATGCACTGAAAATCCGTTTTTTCTTGGAGACTCCTGGAAGTTTTTGGATTCCAATGGAACAATATGGTCGATTTAAACGCCTTCTTAGGGTCTATAAAACTCCTCTGAGGGTCATGCTACTGGTGATGCTTATTGTAACTGGTTAAGTAAGCCCTGTAAAACTTCTACTTAGAACCTCTACCACATCCTAGAAACAAAAACTGCAACCCCGTGGTTGTTTTTTGGACCCCCCGTTCCAAAAGATGTTGTTGTCTCTACCCCCCCCCCCAAGAAACAAAATCTGCAACCCCGTTGTTGTTTTTTGACCCCCCCCCCAAAACAACACAACAAAAAACAAGAAGTAGACCAACCAAGACTTGAGTACCACAACGACAAGAAGTCCAGCTACTAACATCTCTCCAAACCTTCGACCCTATCCCTAACAGAATCCCATTGAAATCCCTGGCTTGCAACATGTGACAACTATGTTGGGCCGCTGTTTTCGTCTCTACCAACAACAACAACAACAACAACAACACACCCACCCCTGCCAACAGAAGCTCAGTTCAACCCAACCTTAAGTGTTTGATATGGTTTGTTTCGCAAGGTCTTGGGGCTCAGTTGTTCTATCCAAGCACCTTGCCACCCTACAATCCTGGGTAGGGACCCAACCTCATCTCAAGTAGTAGCCAAGCTAGTTCTTAGATGATTGGTAGATAGACACTTCATGATACTTGTGTGAACGTACGTTTAACAAAAATACACCTAACCAGCACAGGAGCCAAAAATGCCTGCCGAGCTGCCACGTCTCCTGGGTGAGGCCGTCATCTCAATAGGATTCTCCGGCGCGGGACTTCGAATGGTCAACCCCAATCCGAGACGGGTTTTAAACCATATTATGATGGAACATAATTCCATGCGTCCTATAAGGTTGTTTGAAAATGAGTCACCACGAAGTGTGTGTGTGTGTGTGTTCAAACATTTGTTGCATCGGATGGCCGAGCAAATCATGAGAGGTGCCTGTCTCGCCCGACCCTATCGACACTAGCATCTCCCTCCACAGGATCCTGAGACTCCCAAGACGCCCAAGCGTGTGTCGCTGGGCGGGGAAGAGACGCTGGAGGGCGGCAAGTCGCCACGCTCCGAGGTGCGGTGCGCGATCCGCCAAAGTTGCAAAGATTCATGACTAACCTAGACTCATACCCATGTTCAAACATGTTTATTTCCATGTTGTACACACTTTGCGACATGGAGAATCTTTTTTATGCCCTGAGACAACATTTGAATCCCTGGATCTGTTCAATTCGGCAAAAACACTTTCACCCCTTTTGGTGAACTGTGTGATGGTAGAGATCGACCAGAAAAAAAGATAAGAAATACTCCCTCAGCCGACGTCCTGTGTCGCCCGTGTCGCCGCAGTCTGAGTCGCCGGTGAAGCTCGGGCAGTTGCCCAAGGTGGGACCTCATGGGGCTTCCTTCACGTCAGATGGGATTGTCACGGATTGCTAACGACTGTCTATTTGATTCTATTTGAGTGTGTGAGTTTAGTGGGAGCCCCCAGCCAATGGTATCTAGTATTCTTCGGTTGAAATGGGGGTTCTCCGATATTCAATATATTGCATCTTATGCACCGATCTCGTCGCAACGAGGATGGCAGGTCGGCTTTGCCAAGGAATCAAGTGTTCGATGAACGAAGCGTCGATGAACGAAGCTGGCCCTGAAGCTCTGGCTAGGCATGCCTCAGGAAAAGCAGACCTTCCAGCCGGGGCGCTTTCGCCCGGGGGGTTGGAGGAGGAGAGGTGAGGAATTAAGCAACAATTCCAGCTCCCGTGACTTGACGATCTCACCCGCTTCTTGCAACTTGTGAAGAAAAAGAAATAGAAAAGAACATCATGACCATAATGTATAGTCGACCTGACCCTATCAACATCACACCTCCATCTGCTGCTTTCCGGCATTCCCTCCTTCTTCGCCTGCGGTCGCCCGGCCCGTCGACCGAGGCCCGTCAGGTCGCTCTTCAGATCCCGTCATGGCAAAGCTTGAAGAATTATGTGCAACACTCAGACACTCAGATGGTCATCCCATCAGACGGCTCACAGAGATCCAACGAGCATGTCATTGCTATTTTTTGGGGGGTCACATGTCAGACGTGTCGTCATCCTATCATTTGATGGATTCGAGGACACAAGTGCCACCACAATACCACTTTGGGAACAAATGTAGGCTGGCATGTTGTCATCAAATGATTTCAGATGCTTCAGATATGTTGGCTTTTGAACTCCTGGGGGTTTAGGATATAGTCAACCTTGAGGCCTTTGGAATTACGACAGCAACTTCTGAGGCGATGCGCAGCAACAGATGTCCAGAAGGCGAGTTGAGGGAGCTCTCGACCGCCCCAAATGCCGAGGTCTTCCTTGTCTCAGGTGGTGCAGGATGTTTTCCAGGTGGTTTGGTCATTTTGACATATGTTGAATACCCACGTGTTTGTGATGTTTGTGTCATGTGCAGAAGACGAAAACGGGCCAAGATGTTCAAATTGATTTCGGACCAAACCGGCAGTGATCTGTCCTTTCTTCACTCGTTGTCTCAGTCCCAGTCCGGACGAACTCACCTGCAGGCAAACCTCCATGTATGCCGATTTGCTGCAAAAATACGTCCACACCTCGGAGGGGTCGAGCTGGAGCTCAACGTGTTGCGGACCTCAAGAAGTGGTGCGGTGCAACTGCGCGAATCGCACGGTTTTTCTTTACAAAAAGCTGTTTGGGTTGGCTTCCTGAATAACCTCAGCTCAGCATGAAGACATACTAGTTCGTATATTGTATATGTTTATATACATATGCATTTGTTGTTGCTGTTTCGTTGCTCTCTTGAGTTCTCTCACTGGCGTTTTGTGAGGGCGAGCTGGCAGAGCAAATCTACAGCACGCAAGGGCAAATCGGGCAGGCGTGAACTGAAAACACAAGTAGCAAGAAGCTACTAGGAACAAAGGGCATCGCTGCTAGAAACAAGGACGCTACTAGGGGCTCCTGGCCTTACTACAGTACTAGGAACAAGGACGCTACTAGTACAGTTTTGGTTGTCCCAAAAACACAACAAAGGCTGCCCTCAATTAGTTATTTCTTTCAATTGACGGGAGGGGCCCCCCTAGACCACCATCTAACGTAGGGGACATTTTTGGGGGGGTCTGAAGCTTGGCAGAGACATTCAGGGCCCATGACGGCGTCGCTGCATTCAGGGCCCGTGCGCGTGGTTTGTCGCAGAGTTGCATCTCCCAAGACACAGAGACCGGAGCTCCTCCCGTCTATGCACCGTTTTTGGGCATGTGGCTGGCCCGCAAGTTGCAAGTAAAGTCAAAGGTTAGAAGGCTGGTGTTTTCTCCCATCGCACAAGAAAACTGGGTCGATAAGTTGGTTGCTCATGTCACAAGTTTTTCCTACGTAAGAGACGGTTACCACTCCCCAGCACCATGCATTGTGCTTCTCAGATCACGGCGACTCTTTCGCAGATGGAGGTGGGAGACAGATGTGGAAGCATTGAGAGGTATAAGCCAACATAGTTCTTAATGCTTCATACACATGTTCTGGGGGTGTATGTGTTTAAAGCAAAAGTAAAATCAACGTAATGATAGAGTATATAAGAGATGATTATTTTATTGATGACAATAATGATGATGATTATGATGCTCAATGATAATAACATGTATGTATATATATACATATTTATAGATATGCAGCGGTAAGCATTGGTATCCCCAACACGTGAGCTATAGCGAGACCTAGATGTTGCAGCAGGGATGAGTAGTGACGAATCCACACAGCTGCTGTCTACCATGGAAGGACCTGAGACGGTTTTCACAAATCACCGCACGCCAGGCATGTCATGCCCCTGTCACCACTGACACCAGCGAGCATGTCTTGCACTAGAGACCGGTGGGTGCATTTGAACAAAATACAGGAATGGCCTTCTTTCCATCAGAGCACGAGGAGCATTGGGCTAGAAGATGTATACAAATCAGGCATGTGAGTCCAGAGTAAAAATCAAAGCACTAGATTTACCGAGCAAGATCTTGATGATTTTGTTTCAATCGGCGCTTTTAGACCGACAGATGCCCCCCTGGTCGTCCTCCGGATTCGCGCGCTGCCGTGGATTCCCTGCGGGCGATAACCGAGCAGGCGGTCCCGTCAGGATTCAGGTCCCGACGAAGGGGACCCTTGAAAGGCCAAGCCTTCAGCAAAGCTGAGGCACATCGCATGGAACGGAGAGGTTCTACCATGTCCACTTGGTGAGGATTTAAAGGTCTCAGAAAGTCATTGAGAAGAGAGAACTTCTGTCACATAGACACTGGAGGAGACTATCAGCGTTGGCAATGGAAGTCTCGCAGTTCAGATTCTCCAGTGCCATTGCGATGCAGTGCCATGTTTAGGTACATATAGTATCCTCTGTTAAAATTTCTCTACAAATTTGGTCCACCCCGGTCTTGACAATGGCCATTTTGTAGAGAACATATTGGTTTTCTACAAAATCAGTGACCTGGGTGGACCTGATTTGTAGAGTTTTCTGGGTCATTCTTGAGCATGTTGGCAAAAGCATGCTTTGCAAGGCAGGTTGCGCTTTACAGAAAAGACCATATTTTATGCATTTGTCCATTGACTCGAGCATGTGCACCCACCCACTTGCTGTCAACCACTTGTATTTCTTTCAGTCAAGGAACCTTGGTTCACTCTCTGTCCTTCGTGGTCAACTTCCTCTTGAGCTGCTTTGTCGACCTGTCAGTGAAATGGAAAAATAACATTAGTTTTCCCCTGACCTGCCCAAATTTTGTGCGTCAACGAAATTAAACCAAGCTGAGCTCACTCTTTGATTCATTTGAGGCTGGAACTCCATGGTCGACAGTAAGTGCGTAGGCTTTGCAAGGTCATGAGAAAATAAACCCATGTAGGTCAGAACGGTGAGAACCACAAACCTAAGGACTACTCCTGCACATGTCCAAGGATTCGATTTTTCTCAAGAAGCTGCACGGGAGCCTCTACGGTCCCTGATTTTATTTAAAGAACTTGTGTGGGAGGTGGGGAGAAAGGGTGACTCCTGAACATTGCCAAAGGATCCAAATGTTTTGATATTCTCAAACCCTTCACCCTGCCCATTGCAGGATGGATGGAAGTCTCTAGGGTCCCTACGTTTATAGGGATTGTATAGGCGCTGTGTGGGCAAATGGGTACGGTAAATCCTTATCGATCAACGTGAATGGTTGGTTAGGAAGGGACACATTGAGATGTGAAACATAAAGTGTAGCTAATCTTGATTGCATTTTGGCTCAAAAATTGGGACTCACTGTTTTTTCTCCTTTCCCACCCACTACCGCCCTTGACACCCTCTGCGGGTACTAGGGTTTGGGTTTCTTGTATCTACCTTTATAGGGTGATCAGGCAAGTTCATCAAAGATGACTTAGCCAGCTAGTCTGTGTGTTTTCCAACCACGACTGAAACCCAGTGTTATGTTAAAACACTGATGTTCAATGTTGGAGGTTGAAAGGTCTGCGAACCTTCACCCAAACAGGTCCTAGTACAGGGCGATGATCTTCGTCTGAAGGAGACATCGAACAAGAAGTCGGCGTCCAAAGCATGCCCATGCATGCCCAATGCATGGAACTCCCCCAAGCTGCTCAAATTCACCAATCACTACCATGCTCATTCTCCAAGTGCACAATCTTAGAGAATGGAGGTCGTGGTCCTTGATAATATAGAGATATGTGGTGATACAGAAGACCCAGGCCCTTGATTTTGTAAAGGATATTGATTTACTTCGACGCTTGCCTCGATATTTTTTTAATACAAATGTATCGCCTGCAAGCTAGGCACATTGCGCCCAAATGTTGAATATGCATCATCCACCCTGTCTTGTATGATGATTGGGCTGGCTGCTCCACAATGATGAACACGTCGCGACAAAGCTCCAGCAAAATGCGGATCACCGTCACCTCACTGTTTCGTAAAAGGCTATAGCTGTTCTTTTTTGCGGTTTTTTTTTGTTTGTTCATTTCGGTTGCTTGTGTTTGCTCTCCAAAATTTCAGCCCGTCTACAAAGTTGCGCCAAATCAAATTGGCACGTGTGGGAAATGCATCAAAGGGTTGTTTTTATAGGATTGCACTTTTCTGAGAAAAAATCTGTGAGCCCACTTGGGCAGACCCCAACACAATATTGTAGACTTAGGATTTCTATCTTGGGGGGCGTGATTTTACAGATGGATTTATTGATCTTGACCGGGGGGAGGCATTTGTAGATATATAATATAGTATAATATATAATATGCACCACAGGTGCACAGATACGTATTAAGAGATCCAAGAGATTTCATATATACGATATTTAGTCACCACCCTTTGTGACATCTGGAAATGATACAAGAAAACAAGCATGTCAAATGTGTCAAAAAACATTCAAACGTTGAGATTCCGCAACGTGCGGTGTTTCTTAATGTTTGGTTAGGTGCGGCAAGGGTCAATTCTGT